GTTAACGCAGTTTTTTCAGAGACTGAAATATGGAACTCACATATCTGCTTTAACTTCAGTATAGTAACTTTATTATTAGCATTGGATTAAATGACTGATAAGATTGGCAAATAAGAATAGTTTTTATTGTGAAGATTTAAGTCATTTTATTTGCTCATAATTTAAAATAAAAACTTCGAATCGGTCGATAGAATTGATCGATATTTGACAAAAGTACTCATAAAAACAAACTTGAGTCCGATTGGACGTATCCTGTGAAAGTAAAGAGAAATAATGACTTAGAATAAAACAAAAAAAAAAATTTTCTGTACTTATCAAAATTTTCTTCTCTAACTAACGTGATTGAATAACAGGAAGTATTCAACAGTGTGACAGCTTCATGACCTATGTTCTTAGCATTCTTAGAATGAGGAATAATTATTATCATTATTAATTTTCTAGAGAAAAAGAACAATCATAGCTTGAACTTTTCTACTAGAGGTTTCGAAAGTTGAATTTAATAAAAGTACTACATAATAAACAAGATCGCTCGTTTATATGGCATTTGATGAAGGACACTTCGAGAGTGTATTAGCAGTGAAAAATCGAAAAAATTTTGATTTTCATTCGTAAAAAGGAAAGACGTATAAATATGCATTTATATAGATATTTAGCTAAAAATGAAAATCATCCTTTTTCAAGATTTAAATTTACAATAATATACTTCAAACTATAGTCTATCTAATCGTATAAATACTTTGTTACAACCGTCAAAGAAATTGAAAACCGTGATATCACCGAGAAAATTCATATTTGACAAAATTAAACTATTCGACAGACAAATCAAGTATATTTTTTTTTTCATTTGTACGTATTACTTTTCGAGGAAAAAAAATGTTTCCTACAATATCGTCCGAACGGGTAGTCCCATAGAATGAGAAATCCATCCACATCGAATTTCAAGAATGTTTTTCTATCTTCGATCTCTAATCCCTATGAGCACAAATATCTTTGAACTGCAAAATGAGTGTCCAAAAAATCTAAGATTTTTCAGTTTTTGAAAAAAATATGTAATCAATAAAAATAGTATATTTGAAATCAGTGCATTAAATTACATCGAATGATCTACGGCACAAAACAATTTTCTCGAAAAACTGAAGGCAATGGTTCTCCTCAGGTATTTTTCGTTGAAAATAAAAATGTGTTATATGCAATCATTTCTGAGTGAATAAATCTGTTTTCAAGCATGAAAATCATATACTCGTCTACCATAGTAACGAAGATAGGATCCGCTTAAGAACTGTTTGTGTGTGCAAAGTTTCAAAAAATTAATTTTTCTGAGAGAAACTGATATTAATTTAAAAAAACATTCTATTTTTGTAATATATTCATAGTAATAAGCAAAAAGTTTGAGTTATTTTGAGAGTATTGACAGTTCATTAGGTTCTACATGATTTACACCATCTCTACTAGAAAATAATTAACCAGTAAGATTTCTCCCGTTACATGTTTCACACAGATTGAATATTCTGTTGGTGAGAAATAGATTTTAATATTTATAGGATGATTTTTATGAAATTATTTTGAGAATATTCTTCAGAAAAGTTTATATATGCTTGAAAATATTTAATTTCAAATATATTTTGTTTTCTATATGATATTATATAGTTAAATTTACTAATTATATCCGGTATTGTTTATATAATATATTAGAATTCTTTTAATCTATTGTTCTATCTCATGTAAAAAATGGTTTCATATTCTTATATTATTATCAATTAACCTACATATATCAAATTATATTTTGTACTTTTTTTTTTTATTAAATTCTCGTCCATTCATTAAATATATAGGTAAATTTAAAAATAATCTATAGAAATAAGAGTAAGTGTAATATATGTCTATTGATTAAGTATTCTACGCGTTTGCCATGATTTTCAAGTTGAATAAATCTTTTATTTATGTTATATTCAGTGTTCTTTAAAAAAGTTCTTTTGCCTTTCACATCACTGAATAATTTCATATTCGAGTCTCCATAGTAATTCCAATTTATTAATAATGTAAAGATAAGAAAATATTCATTCCGTTTTTTTTTCAATCACCATATATTTGTTTATAGTATAATGGAAATAATAAACATTTAGAATAAAAAAGAAGTTTTTTTTTTGCTATGTTATACAACATCAGGACATTATTTATTCAATATCTGTCATGCATAGTAGGATTAAACAAGATTAATTATATTTTTTTGTACCAAAAAATTTCATTAATATAAATATCGTTCAAGAACATTACGGCCGATGAACTCTATTTATTTACGCAGATTTACTAAATAATAATTTAAAATTAAAAACAAAGTGCTTCTTAAGAAGAAAATTTTTGTTTTTTACCTACATAAAAATCATAGAAAATTTTAGCAAGAAAGATTTATTTAAGCATAAACCATTGAGAAAATGATGCTGTTTATGTATTTTATAAATATCAATCATATTCAATAAAGTCAATCAGTTTTTAATTAACAAATGTTATTCTTTTTATTTTCTAAGATTTAAGTAGTAGTTCATTAGTTAAATAAAATTCATACTCAGACTAATTATAATAATGTATAGTATACGGAACTTGTACGAGTTCTATTGAAAACCTTTTCCTTACGAGGAAACTACGCACACGAACTGATAGCCATTGTTTGAGCTCATACTGGGTTTACAAGAAGGTATCTGCAAGAATAGGAACACTTTAAATGGGTTCATCTCTATGGGTCTCTGGAAACTTGTTTGTGACCATTTTATTAGATTTTCGATCTGAATTGAAAATTCAATATCTTGATATTTTCAGTAAAATGGTCATAGTTCAACTCTAGAGATCCATGGGCATGAATCATTATAAATTTTTTCTAGTCTTACTAAGGCTCCCTTATGAACTTATTATGAATTCAAACGACGGATACCAAGTCGAGTAGTTCTCTCATTTAGTGTGACATAATCATGCTTGTTACCTATACACAACGATTTTTCAAATACTATCGAACCCCGAGCAAAGACTAAGACATATGTATATTATCATGAATGAATATATATTTGTCTGACCTCTTGCTGTGAAGATTGCGCTTTGCTATAACGTACATCAATAAGTCTAGCAATCTCGAGTTTGTTTATTCTTGAGGCATTGAATAAATAGTCATGTTTAAGTATAAATTGGTACTGATTGTTGACTTATTTACCATTCCTACGAATACAAAAATGAAACTAAGACTTGTTCTTTTATTTTTACTTCCGAGGAAACTACCTGAAGCGATTTAAAGGTTTTGGTCCCATATTTTGCCAGTAAGTAGGAGAATGATAGACTAGAAAAGCTCTAAGAGAATATAGGCTCTCGTTGCGATTGGGCTGAGATACAGAAGTTTTACTGTTTTTCCCTATTGGATTCTAATTTTTCAGCAAAATCCTATTTTCGAATTTTGATCTGAAAGTTTGCCTACATGAAGACCTCAACTAGACTAGATTGTAAACAGATTTTCAGTATTTTCGAACATAACATTGCCGAGATATTACGTTCAAAAATTCTGAAAATCTTTTTTCAATCTGGTGTAGTTGAGATCTTCATGTGAACAGAGTTTCAAGTCAAAATTCGAAAATATGATTTTGCTGAAAAATCAGGATTTTATAGGAAAATTTAAGTAAAACTTATATATCTGAACCAAATCAAAACAAGGGCTCATATCCTCTTATAATTTTTCTAATCTACCACTCTTCTACTTATGGGTAAAAAATTGGAACCAAAAACTTTTAATCACTTCGGGTAGTGTCCTCATTCGTATAAAGAAACTTAGATGAAAGATTTATATAATGTTTTTTATTTTTTTTATTTCTAGCCTTTGATCATATCTCCTATGCAATCCGACAATTAAGTAATATGACTCAACAAGCTCGTGCTGCTTTTCAATATGCTACATTAAATGTCTTTCAAATGTCATCGAGACAACAACAAGGTCAAGCATTATCTAATACTTCCTTGTCATCAAATGTAATTGCTTTCGCTCAATTGCAAGCAATGCAGCAACAAAAGTCATCATCAATTCATCGTACTAGTGGTTCTTTACGTACAACACCTTGAATTAGAAGATAAATATAAGAAGAAAACAAAAATAAGAACCGGTGATGAATTGAGAGAAGAAAATCACTAGAAGCAAAACAAAAAAAAAGAAAAAAGAAAAGTTTTCTATTCTCAATAACATCTTGTTTTTTATATACACAAACCATTTATTTCCCGACTTAAAGACAAAAAATGCACAAAAAATAAAAGTATTTTTTGGCTTCTTGTCTCTTTACCATAGTGAAATTATTTTTTATGTTTTGTTTTGTCAATTGTGTATGTATGAAGTCGAGATGTGCATATTCTCTCTGAATTGTCCTTTTGTCGTGTACGTGTATTAAACGAAAGCTAATGGTTTTTCTTTTTCTAAATTTACTTCATCTTTCTTGCTCTATGTTTGTCGTTTATTATCATCATTAATGTTCTCGACAGTCATACCGCATCTCTTCTCTCTCTCTCTCTCTTTTTTTTTTGTAATAAAAACATAAGAAAATAGTAGATCTTTTGATGAAGCGATATATGAAAACTTTTGTTTTTTTTTTTTTCATTTAAGATATTGAAAATACGTTCGTTGTGACGAGCATTTATTTCAATTCATATGATTATATTAATTATTATACCATTAACATGTTCAGTAATGAAGTGTCATCAACATTTTCTTTGATTCAGTGTTTTGCGTGACTCTACCACAAAAGCTACGGTAATGATAACTTCATATAATTAATGAGCTTCTTCATTATTCACTTAAGAACTCATTTGTTTGTTTTATACTTTGTAAAAAGGTAATATGAATACATTATATCGATGACGAAACAATTAGCCGTATTTTTCTTTATGATTCAAAGTTTTTGAGTCCTTATATATATATTACATATCGAATTTATATATTAAACGAAGTTTATTTCTTTAATAATTTTTTAAAAATGATTTAAAACTGAAAAAAAAAGAAATTTCGTGACGTATAAAACCATAAAAAAAAGTAATTACTCTTCCTATACATTTTTTAATTAAAACAAAAGATACAAATGACCAAGTAACCAAATAACTGGTTTTCTGCCAACAAGTTCCCTACAGTATAGATTTTTTGAATAACAAATATGCGTAATCATTAAATATAAAAAAAGATATTTTCATTCAGTATACATCGTATGAGATATCACTCATTTGATTCAAATATTTCTCGAGAAGAATGTAGATTTATTATTATATCAACGAAAAGAAAAAAAGAAAATTCCATTAAAGACATATTATTTATTGTTGTTTAGCATTATTACTTATTAATGCCTCTTGGTTATGAAAACTCCTCTTTCTTTCTTTTGTATAAACAATGCAAAATAGTTTAAATAGAAGAACTCAAACAGATGACTAAATCGAGTATGTGTTACTGTTAAAGTCTACTACAAGCTTAGGTACAAATCTTATTATTATGTTTCACACATAAATATCGAACTCATCAAAAAATGACATTTCTTGTCTAAAAAAAACACTTTGATGAGTTTTCCTTTTCTCTTTTTCTATAAAAAAAAAACCTTTTATTTCAGTTGAGTTCAAGAACATATTTTTATTCTCTAGTTCTTTTTATATAATTCTGACACAGATCTTTACACCTTCTTCTTTTTTTTCTCTCATTATATAATATTCCTTCGTTCCTCTTGAGAGTTTTTTTTCTGTCCTACTTTTTCATGCCGTCAAAGTATGATAAACTAAAGATGATTAATTCAAGGAAAAAAATAATTACAACTTGAGTGTCAATGTTTTTTCTTCCGTAGAGCCAGTTTGCAACATCAACATAGTATTAACAGATAGAAGCAAAAAGATAGAAAAAGAACGTTAATGATCAAAGTTTAGTAAATTTCTTTTTCAAATTTAATTTATTATTATATTGAAATAATATAATATCTATTAAATAGATAGATTTCATTTTGTAAGTTGATTTTTTAATTAGTAAATATTTGCTTTCAATGTAGTAATAAGAAATAAAATAAAACTTTTCTTGGTTTTTTTTCTCTCTCTATTGTTATTAAATATATTGTCTTACATATTCTTGATTGAAAGAAAAAAAAATAATTATTTGTTCTTATTTTTTAACTTGTCAATATAAATTGTACCCGACCAGATGTTATGTCATCTTTCATTTTTCTCACATTCGTCTAGTAAGATAATGTTTATTAAAAGTAGTTATTCTTCAGACAGATCATTATTAATATTAAAGAAAAAAAAAATATTTTTCTTGCTTAATATATATTTTTTTAGACATAAAAATCTGTAATAATTCATTTTTCATTTCTAGATTTACACGATAGAAGTATAAGTATATTTGCATATAAAATTTTAAAAAAATTAGTAAAAGTCAAAAAAACATTCTTCGATAGTTTTTAAATATCTGAATGGCATCTCGATCACTTGGTCGATGTTTAGTGTGTGATGATGATGCAGTTGGCATTAACTTTGCTGTGCCAACATGTGCACCATGTAAAGCATTTTTTCGTCGAAATGCTGTTAAACTGGGTGTAAGTTTATTTTTTAATAAATCTATTATAGTTAACAAAGAAAAAACAACATTTTTTTTTTTATAGAGACGTGATTTTGTTTGCCAACATGACGGTGATTGTCCAGTAACATATAAATCTCGTCGGTTTTGTAATTGTTGTCGTCTAGCAAAATGTTTTCGTGTTGGAATGCAAAAATCATTAATTCGGTCCGAAGCTGAACGAGAAGCAAGAAAACAACTTATTGAACAAAATCGTCGAAAACGTACTCAATATATAGCAAAAAAAAGTGCAGTTTTGGTATGAAAATAATACTCATATGTTGATATACAAATAAGAAAGGATTTATAGAATAAGTTTAAGACTTGTGGAATTGAATAGATTCTATAAAATGAAAAAAAATTTTGTCTTTGTTCGGCAAGACTTATATTCTCATCAATACTTTGAAAAATCAGCATTAAGTATGTGACAATTTCATTTCGTATCACATAGGTACTTTATCTGATATGAACTGAAATAAATCTATGATACGACTGCTCTATAAAATAAATTGATACATTCATTAGTTTTTAATCATTTAATTGATATGATTTAGTCTATCGCATAGACTTATTATCATGGGCTGTTGTTATGTAAAGCTATCATGACTGAAATTATTCCCATCAACATTAAAACATAAATAAAATAGCTTGTTTTCTGTATACAGATTTGTGAGGCCGTTTTCTTTTTGTTTAATACCGACTTCAGTATTTTCTTTTTCAGTAGTTTCAATCATAGTCGTGTTGAATCTCGTCTAGGCTCGACTGAAATTAAACTATTTTAGGATTTATTCATATTAAATCTAAAAAAGAATCTTAAATACTTTTGTTTTGATTAAGTTAGCTGATGAATGTTATTGCTTTCGGTCATTTCTCTTAAATTTTTTCTATAATTGATGTGGTTTTTAATATAATTTATTAAAAATTTGACTAAAATTTGGTCCCTCAAAATCTCTGATTCTACATTTAAAACACTAGAAAGATTGTATTCATTTCCTCCAAAATCATCAATCATTATTCTACTCTTGAACTCTTTCAGTAGCCTTGTCATTATGATAAAACTCACAGCTGATGGAGACTATAAGGTTATCAGTGACTTTTGTCTACACGAAAGACTATATATAGACGTCTAGAGAATGCCTTTCTTTATCTAATAGTGCATGCATTGTCAAGTTCAATTACGTGCAGTTTTATCTCGATAGGTGGCGTTAACTTCGCTGCAACCAAGGTAGAGTGCGATGAACATACCGCCATCTATTGACATATAAACCGTACGTCGTAGAGCCTGACACTGCATACACCAGTAGACAGAGAAAGTCTTGCTCTATAGTCAAAAGCTTATAGCCGCATTTTGCTTACTAATTAATGTGTCCGCCAGCATTAATCTATGGTGCAAAAGGTTTGGCACAAAATATCTACTTGTTTTTCGGCTCTTAAAAGACAACTGCTTAGAATCAGACATTGCCGCTCTTTGCGAATATATGTTCAGAATTTCTTTCTAGGGTAAGATTTAACAACTATCATCTGATTATTTCAAAAGGTTCAAAATAATGTTCATATAGAATACGATCTCAGTCAATTTTGTATTTCGATTGAAACTCTATCAAATTCGAAATGCGAAACATTTATTAAAAGCATATTTTGAAAGTTTTGTATTTTTAAAAGCAACTTTATAGACGATTTTCATAGAAACTAAATCATTAATAGAAATACATAGATTTCTTTTATTGGAATATCTCGTTTTTGTTTAGAATTCAGTAATGCCGAGTTCAATCTGCTCCAAGACAAAAAAATAAGAACCACACCAAAACCACTGTTGTAATTTGTACGAACATAATTTTAGACTTTTCCACAAAATCTACTAATAACTATTCACTCTTACCCTAGAAGAAAAATCTAAACATATATTCAAAAATAATGAAAAACTCTGTAGTCAAATAGTACTTTTAAAATAAATACATGAAAATTTTTCTATTAAAATAAAATCTATCTCATTTATCTCTATAGATTCGGCCATCAACTTTATTACTATTATCACAAAGTCAACCATATTCATTAGCTTCATCTGATCAAACACTTCTTACAAATATTTGTAGTGCATATGAACGAACATGTATAGCAACAAAAGCTGAGCAATGTCCATCATTTCCTAGGTCCAAACATTCATCTCTACATACATTTCTTAATGATTATACTGTACGACAAAAAGCATTAGTAAAATATTTTAAACTTGTACCTGAATTTGATCATTTATCAATGTCCGATAAAATACGTTTAATAAGAAATCATTTTTGTTTAACATTAACTATTAATGAAGCAACACTTTCTTCTGATATATCATCAAATTTAACTGAGTCCGTAACAATATTATTCAATGGTAGTATATCATCTAATCTTATGGAATGTATTAAATTAGTACATTCATATACAAATGATCGTATGCTACTTAAACTTCTTCTTATTGTTAAAAGTTTATCAAGTGGTATAAATAGATATACAAATGAAACAGATATGGATCGTATTTATGATGATACATTAGCAATATTTTCAGCACAAAATATTTATGTAGAGTTATTATGGAAATATCTTTTATCACGTTGTCCATCGGAATTACAGGCTGTGAAATTTTATAACAAACTTATACGAGATTTACTTTTTGTACAACGTGTTTGTTTTATGACAGAATCATACATAAATAGTTTAACTCATGAAATACAAAAAATGGAACCATTAATACAAAGTATGTGGCCAATATCGAATACAGAATATATTGCAAATATGGATACTAATGATATGAAACAACTTGCGTGATATAGAAGAAAAAAATTCTCAAATATCAATATTTAATAATATTATCTCAAAAAAAAAAACTACGATGCTTTAATAAAGATGGAAAGATTGAATGAACGAAAAACTACGTGAATTATATTTAACAAGTTTAACTATATGTTGCATTGAAAAGTCGAATGTTTGTTTTGTTGTTGTAATTTATAGAAAATAAGCTGAGTATTAAATGTCTATGTATTGGTTTTTCTTCATTTGTGAAAGTAAATCTAAGCTTCTATTAGATATAGTTGTCTTTGTCATTATCGTCTATATATACATACACACACATATATATATATATATGCGTTCGAAATAAAATTTTTCATTAATCATGAACAGTTTAAATCTTTTTACGTTCAATTTCAAATTTACAAGTTTGATTTTTGATCTGAAATATCTGTTGGGATAAACTAAATGTCATTTTAAATTTATATCAAGATCATCGTGTTTATGAATATAATTTGATATTAGTAGTGATAAAATTTTACATTTGATCGTATCACTGACATATAAGCCAATGTTAATTAAGATGAATATTTGATATAATTAATAACGTATTGTAAATTTCTTACGATCTATCTCATTACTTTTGCAATGTATACATATCATCAATTTAATATACATGTTATAAAATAACAAATCGAATTTCTTTTAATTTATGAAAACACACTATGCTAGGATGCTTTAAATTGTACGAATCTATCTATAGTTTTTACCAGTTCATAGTATATGTCAATATGTGTGCATTTATTTAGATTTCTTATATGTTTTATCTTTAAAAGAACAACTATTCTTTTGAAAGGCCTATCGGATTTATGGAACAATGAAATCAACAAGTAATTCTATTATCATTAATATACTATTCTCGACATTTTAAATGAAGCCACCTTGTATTATCACTGTGGCATGTAGCAATCAATTCAAGTATATAATTTATTCAATTAATAAGGAAGCTAAATGTATCAGTTAAAATTATCATTGATTTCATTCCGCTAATTTCAGGAAATATTATGGTATAATTTTAACCATACGACAGTGTTTGATCTAAATTTTCTCTTCCGGAGAGGTGATTTAAAATCCAGAAGAGCAAATATCTATATTTGGGAGCGCAGACACATAGTACATAGTGAAAGAACAACAAATCTTGGATGCTCACACTGGATATGAAAAAATACTGTCATACGACTATTATTTAAGGAAAATATCTGTAAAGTAATTTATTTCTAGATTTTCTAGTTTATTTTCTATTTCAATGATAGATTCAAAGTTCGATAACAATTGAACTTCTCTGTTCATTATAAATCGATCTTGATTTTTCCTTAAAATTTATCTTTCAAAAAACAAAACAAACTATTGAAGAATGTTTAATATTTAAAAGTTTATACAAAATATCCATTAAAATATTTTCATTTGTTTTATTCTTGAAATAAATTAAGAATTTCATTTGCAATAATATTTGTCGGCCTATTTCCATCGATAACATGTAAACGAGAACCAGGTATATGATTTCGATAAATAAAATCAAGTCGACGACGAAATATTTCTTGTGCAGCTAATTGTTTTTCTTCTAATGTAATAGGTATTGATCGTTGAGCAATACGTCGACAACGTTCTATTTCATCTACATAAATATAAATAATTAAAGCTGGTTGAACAAGATAATTAGGCCATGAAATTTTTATTTGATCATCATCATTTAGTCTTGCTAATTGATAAGCTATTGTCGATGGCCAATAGCGATCAAGAATATTTATTATATTTGATTGATTTTTTAATTCTAATGAAATAATTAAATTTCCTAAATTATAATATGCACGACGAATCGATTCTGATTGTGCATCAAAATAAGATCGAAATGATAGAATTTGATCAGGTGGCGTTGATAATAAACGTGAATTTAGTTTACGTATATTTAATTGATGATGTAATTCATTTGCTAATGTTGATTTACCACAACCATCAAGACCTATAAGAAAATCAATTTTATATCTAATTAAATTTAAATTAAATTTTCTACCTTCTAAATCAATACAACGTGCTATATATTGATCTTCATGTAATTCATTATTTTGAGATTTTAAAATAGTACTCAATTGTTTTTCTGTATTATTTAATATTGTTGAAAATATTTCAATATTGGGAAACAATGAACATTGATTATTAATAATATGATTACGAAGTATTTGTAAAATTTCCATTTTGTTTAATTCTTAAATTAGCATACAAACTTAAATTCATTATTGATCATTGTTTTTTTTTCCCAAAGTTTTGTTTTCCTGCGACATAGAAAAAAAAAACATGATGTCAAAGCAAAGTACTCGGTTATGTCAACATAATGAATCATAGAAAAAAGCACAGAAAGAAAAAACAACACCAGCATGTAATCTGTTTTTTTTCTGCTTAGCTCTTTTTCTCTGTAGATAAAAATAAAACAAAGGTGCTAATACGATATATAAAAAACAATACTACTCATACCATCTGCCAATTCATTTAACGTCATGCCATGGAAATTAAAATGTCTAATATCAAGAAAATTCGTTTTTTTTTAATTAAAACACATTGCTACTTATGAAGAGCATACTAAATTTCTTATGAATATTTCCATTATTTTTCATATGTTGATCCTTTATTATAATGATGATCAATCTTAGGTTTACCTTGGACATATTGAATACAATAAAAAAAAAAAAAAAAAACTTATGATAGATTTTTTGATTGAGGCCCTCGACTCCCCAAAAATTGATCTTAAGACAGATATATTCAAATCACATAAAATTTTCACATCTATATCATGATGTTTTCGGAAGATATTCAAAAAAAAACAAGAGACAAAAATAGCTCATTTAACAACTCGAAATTCTCTCTAGGTCTTTATCCAATATACTTAATTCTTTTTGTTTTGTTTAATAGAGCATGTCAAGCTACAGCATATGACAATCTTTCTTTTTAAATTCTTACTTTTAAGCGGAAAAAAAAAGGACAAGTTCAATGTCTTGAAAAAAACTCTCAAACAATGACATTCTAAATATAGAAGTACTCTTTTTTTTTTCAATAGTAACAAAGCTTATTTCAGAAAAAGTACTTTGTCATACCCTGCATCTTGGCACACTCTTTCAAAACAAAACAAAACAAGCGATTGCCTATAATAAAGTTCTGCAATATTTTTAAGTAGGTCATGACAGAAATCATGAAAAGTTTTCGGAAAAAATGAAGTGCCAAATAAAAAATCGTATCATTTTGAGTTTTTTTTTTTTTATAGCATCTTAAATTTTTCTTGATAATTGTTTTTACGAGCAAATCCTCTTACAAATCGATATCTAAATTTGCTATCAAGATTGTGTCTATACTCGATCATATATGTGTATTAAAATATATTTTAACTATTTTAGATTTCGGTTTCTATTTTTAAATGTTAAGTGACTATTTGAATCAATCTCTATTACATGATTAAATCTTGGAATATAACATAAAAAGATGTTAGTGCAATGCCTGTAGGATTAACACATGAGACATGTTGTAGCTACCCTTACTAATCACTGAGAGATTGCTTGATTCTATCTACCTCGAGAGATATTTCTTCACTATCGTTTTACTTATTCCTTGAGAGATACAATAAGGAAGTAGTTCCTATTTTTTAAGGAGATGCTATTAATATGTGGTCGGTGATCATATAACAAACAACGACCGTCACTGTTGATGATGAAGGGAAGACGTTTCTAAGAATGTCTATAATCAGCCGCTTCTCACGTGTCTGTCACGTTTGTGTGAAAGCCAAGATTCTTCAAATTTCTACCGCTTGACTTCAACATTCATTTTAGATTGTGTTTGACAAAGAAGACAACCAATCGATTGAATAAAAGTTTTATCTTCTTAATTGCATTATTAATTTTTTTTAAATTAAATATTCTTCATGATGAAGTTTTTCAAAAAGAAAATATAGAAATGATATTATCTTTAAGATATAGTTTATTTATAAGATAATCTTTACTAAACTATAATATACATTTGATTTTTATTTTTTGGTTACATCTTTAGTCTAATGAGAAGCTATCTATAAAGAACGTCTGGAAAAGAGAAAGAAGGAGAAGCTTGTCAAAACCAGATAGGTTCCGACTGAAGAAAGAAGGGAATCAAAT